AGCAAAACAAGTAATCACATCGTTTTCATCAAACTTTTCTCCATAATCTTCTGTCTCACAGTTGCATGTTTTTATTCCTTTTAGAGAATAGCCATAAGAAAATTCTTCTTCACCTAAAAAAAAAAAAAAAGTTTTATGAAGTCAGTGTTTTAAACACTCAAAGAGACTTGTCTAACTTGTTACTATTTCAGATACGGGACACAAGAGAAGCAGTATGTGTAATTCAATTATCTTGGACTTATTACCCACATAGCAAATACAGAATTGACGATGAAAGCTATGTAGGATAAACACATAAAGCTATAGCCAATACACTAAATCACTGGGAAGACTATTTCAACTCTTTTGTAACTTCAGAAAGCAGGAAGAAAGGCAGAAACTAAAACTTAGGCAAATCCTCATCTGGTAAACACTAAAATTTAAGCTTAAAAACGAGTTAAGACTTAAAATGCTGTCTGTAATATTCTTGAACCCGCAGGAGTTAAATGGAAACTTTACCAAGCAACATTCCACTTGTGGTTAGTGACCATCCAATCCGAACTTCATGTATGTCAATATCTTTTGTGTATAAATGCCTTACTGGGATCTTCTCTGTAACCTGAAATTTAAATCATTCAACAATTACAGTGTAAACTAAGGCACATCAGTCCTTTAACTCTGGCCTTCTCCTAATTCCTGCCTTGCTGATAACACAGGAGGACCCCACCTCTTCATCTTTCCAAGTCTGACCTCCATCATTTTTACCAACAAACTGACATTAGCATTTACAACTGAAATTTGACGCTTTAAGACATATACTTCTGAGTTAATTCACCTTATACTCAAAGTATTCAGTACGTTTTTTCTCATCAACAAAACCAAGCTTACAAGCTTTTCTTAAAAAAACGTGCCCCAAATACAAATCGGTTGACTCTGTACACTTTGTTAGTTTAACTGTTAAAAAGTCTCAAGCTTCTCTGAAACTTCAAATGAAAACTCAAAAGGGTCTTGGGGGGAAAAAAAACCTCACAAAACTGCATTTACCTTCATCTCAAAACAGACTTTGCCTTTTGACACACCGTAAGAGGCTCTTCCTCCAGCCCAAAGAAAAGCAAAGCTCTCCATAGTGAGGGAAGAAGCACTGAGGCGATCTCTTGAGATTTTAAAATGTAGATCACAATTATCTGTAACCAAATATCATATTATTCTTTAGACACTCCAAGTATTATGCTACACACACAAAAGCTGATTACTAAATTTTCACATGTACTTCTAATGCTATAAATAAGTCTTTATGATCATGCTTCTTAAAAATTTTTCTGCTTTAATCCCCACTCCCACAACAAGCCACTTCTTGGTCATTTATGTTCTAAAAGAGTAAACTGCCTACTAAATTAAGATCAAACAAGTGTCTTAAACCATGTAGAATAATCAAGACAACGGGACAATAATACATACCTGCTCTGCTCTTTACCTTGGTTTAGAGGCAAGCAGTAGAGGATAGCAGGAAATCAAAGTGAAGCATGCCAGAACCAGGTAGAATTTACCAGTGCCACAAGACTGAAGGGAGGCCATGACCAAATCATTTTAAAATAGGAGCATGAGCTGTTCATCCTGCCCTCCGTAACTTAATACCAGAGTCCCAGGTCCTCTATTCTTTTCTAAAGTTTGTGAATACAGCATTCCCAACCTAGAAACCTAGCCATCCAAAACTGTTTATGTTACGGCACTTTTGGTTCCTGTTCCACAAGCTTGCCAGTTTTATCAAGTAGGGATTAACTACTTCCTGGATTATCCAAATCCAAAGCATTTTTAGCTATCTTTAGGTCACTACCTGATTAACATGCACCTTCTCAGCGTTAACTTTGCAAACAGCTAACTCTCCATTAAGGTAGAATGCCACTTAGTATTAGTAACAATCAAGTGTACAACTTGAAATAGTCAAATAAGCTTTACCCCTCTCAAGCTCTTGATCACTGACAGAACTTTCAATTCAGTACTGTTTAAACTCACACTACTGCGTTTTAACATTGGTGTTTCTAGCTGATGTGTACTGAAAACTGATTCAAAGGTGGCAAGATTAACCAAGCTTCACCATGCTGCCAATGCCTAGCAGTTTATACTTAAGCAACTGAATTTGACCTGAGACTCTTGAACTACTTTTCCTTGGTTTACCTAAAGACTCAACCATCAACTAAGTTTTACATTTACCCACCTACAAACATGAAAAAAGCAATTTGTACAAGGAAATGTAAATGCTCTGAACTTCAACACTTGTCTCACAAAACAGGTTTACACTTTACCTTATTTTTCAAGCATTTTTTTCTACACTGCCCTACTCATTACACTGAAAAGATGAGTTCCGCTAAAACACTAAACCAATATAACTTTTTATGATTAAAAAACACAAATCTGACAGCCAAGCCCCGTTAGGAGGTTTGCAATACTTCCTCATAATTGCAACCCAACTGGGTAAAGTAGCAGTATTTACAGCGCTGCCATTGACACCATTTCGCTGCTGAAGAAAGCTAGTGGCCCAGTGATAGCCCACTGCTGCTGCCCCAGGTCTTTGGAAGAAATCAACTTATGTTAAAGCAGCAGCTACTGAACTGGAATTGAGAACAAAAGAGCAGTTATTGAAAAAGTATTATTTAACAATCTTTTAGAATAGGGGATGCTAGTGGAAGAAATTAGTAGTAAATATTTAGTGCAAAACAGCTCACTTAATATTTAATTCTACAAAAAAATGCAGTGACTATTGCAGAAACCTTATTATAAGGACAAGATAGGTATTTTCACAAGTTTCCGTTAGCTAGTCACTACTCAAACACTGGCATTAATCTTACAACCCTAAAAATAAGAATTCTCAAGTCATAAAAATATCAAATTGCCAGAACCTGCGAGATTATTAATACATAACTAGAGCCATACCAAATATTAAACTACTACTACAATCTGAATGAGTCATCATTTTCCTGCCTTAATTAAATTCCTAAGTTTTCCCCACGGGGTTCAACAGTTTTCAAACAATCTAGAACCTTAAAAACCTCTACATTTGGTAAGAAAGGGAGAATCAGCTTCACTTACAAGTATCAAGACAAACCACCGTATCATCGAAGTGCTCATCTTCTTCTTCAACAGGTGGCTGAGGAGATTTGGCTCTGAAAGACAGAAACGTCTCCTGGTACCAGCTCTTCCCACCAACCCATGAGGAAGGGGTGACAAGCCGTTTGCATCCTATACCTGCTGTACTTGTTCTCTTCGATGTACTCAAAATATCCTCGGCCATGATCTTCTCGAGGTCTTTTTACCCCTCTCTTTTTATCTCCGCCTTTCTGCTCTGTTTTGCCATCTCCTACAACACACAACACTGCTTTAAGAAGCCGAGCCGCAAAGCTACCACAGAAATCGGGCAGGCGAAGAAAAAAGAAAATCCCATAAAGTGCCTTTACTATCTCAAAAGGAAGAAAAAAAATTCAATCGTGCCCTGTTAAACCTTTTTGTACGAATTTTTAATCGACGAACCAAACATGATTTCAAAGAACAATCAGCTCAAACGAGGATTGGTGCTAGTGACGCAGTCTAAAGAGGCCGCTCACTCCGCCAGGCCGCGGATGATTCGAGAAAGCCCAAGAAAAAGAGCGCGGCCGGCCGAGCCCACGTGCACGCCGCCCGCGCGGGGGGAGGGGCCGCCGCCCTCCGCGCCCCTCCCCCACCGGCCCGCGCGCCGCCGCATTGTACTGATCTTCCGCTGCTCTCCGCGCCAGCTTCTCCTGCCGGAAGTGACGTCACGCCGAGCCCCTGCGCTCCTTGCACAATACCGCGGCGAAGAGCCGCCGAAGCGCGCCCGCCCCGGGACCTCGGGCCTCTCCCCTCCCCCCGAGACATGTGCCCGCACCGCGCGCACGCAGCGTGGCGGCGCCACTGCGACCCGGCGGAGCTCCCGCCTTTCCTCCCCCACCCCCGCGGCAGCTGCGGCTCCCCCCGGCGCCTGAACCACATAATGGAGGCGCTGCGCCGCCGTCACGCCGAGCCCGCGCCGCGCCGCTAATCCGGGATTCCCCGCGCCCCTCCCCCCACGGGGCTCCGGCAGGCCTGGGGCACGGTCCCCACCCCGGCGGGCCCGCCGCGCGCAGCCTACAACGCAGCACTCACCCGCCGCCGGAGCCCCGGGGCGACCGCCGCCTCCGCCGCCTTCCGCCTTCTTCTTACCTCCCGCCTGCTGCTGGCCCTGCCTCGCCCCGGGCGGAGCTACGGTCACCGCGAAGAGCGAGGTGGGGCCGCCGCTCTTCCCCGCGGCCTCCTTGGCGGCCCCGCGCTGCTGGGGGGGCTGGGGCTGCGGCGTCGCCGGCGGTTGAGCCTGCTGCTCTCCGTGCCCATTCTCGTCGCCCGCGCCCTCCTCCTCCTCGCCGAGCTCGTCCTCTCCTTCCTGGAAGCCCTGATCGTCGCCGTTCTCGTCCTCCGACGCGGCCTCCTCCTCTTCCATCGGGCCCGCGTCGGCCGCCCCCGCGGCCCCGTTCTCCTCTCCTAGCTCCATCTGGTCGCCATCTAGCGCGGCGATGCCTTCCTCCTCCTCTTCCTCCTCCTCGTCGCCGCCGGCCGCGGCCTCCTGCTCGAGGCCTGCGCTCGAGCGCCCGGCGGAATCCCCGCCCAGGTCGAGGCTGCCGTTCCCGGGCTCCATTGCGGGGCGGCCCCCGGCCTCCTCGTCGTCCAGCGCGGCCTGGAGTCGATCCATGAGCTCGGCCTTGAGGCCTTTATCGGACAGGCGCCTCTTCTTGAGCTCCTCTTTCAGCTCCGACACCTTCAGCTTTTTTACATTAACAGGCGAGGAACTCATGGTGAGGGCCCCAATTCACTGCTGGGTGCTGGCTCAACCTCGGCTCCCCTCCGTCGGCCACTGGTGGCGGCTGCTCGTTGGCCCGGGCGGTAGCTGCGGCTGGATATGGCTGCGTGCTGCAGAGCGGACCCGCCTGGTGTCGAACGGCGCCAATTCCTTTTCACCGAGTTCGCGAGGGAGACGCGGAGACTCGCCTGGCGCGAGCGAGCACGCAACGTCCTCTCGCAGGGGCGGCGCCGCGCACGTAATATAGTCGCCCCGCCCCCGGCGTGACGCCGCGCTGCGCAGGAGGGAAGCCGGCGCGCTCCCGCGCTGCCCCGCCCCTTCCCGGACTCGCCTCCCCGCCCCCACGCGAGCTGGGCGCCCAGGGCGCCTCCAAAGGGACCCGGCAGATGCAGGAAAGGGAAACCGCCTTTCGGTTAAACCGACCCACTGCTAAATCTATTGGCCTTTGGTGGCCCAGCACCTTCGGCTTTTTGCTTTTCTAGCCGGAGGCTGCTTTTCACCAAACGTTTTCAGTCCTCTGCTTGGCATTTTCAGCTCGAATCCTCCCCCCTCACTTCCATCTTAGATTTGCTTTCTGCTGTGTTTCTCCGGCGAGTCCTTGAAAACGACTGTAAAAATTGCCACTCTGACCTGTGTAACAGCAGCTGGCCATTGTTTCGCGCGCCGGTTTTTGGCTTCGCCCCTCTCCCGTCTAGTTTTCGGCTTAATTTCTGCAAGTCCTGCCTTGCGAATTGGATTTTGGATTCGACCAGGGCGAGGGCAGAGCTTTTCTTTTGTCTCTACCGTGCAACCCCTGGTGCAGGGCCTGGGAAGCGGAGGCTTCGCTGTGGTCCTCCACGCTGCTAAGTGCCTCATAATCTCCCGGATTACCAGCCGTGAGGGAACCTATCTCTTAAATTGGCTTTACCTACAAAAAGAAAACCTCCTTTAAGACTTACTCTTGCCAGCTTTGGCGGTGGCTGTCTGGTTAGGAGGTCCCAGGAAGTGACATTGAGGGTAGACCATCCAGAATATGCAGCTTTGATTTTTTTCCTGGTTTGGGGTTTTTGGTTTGGATTTTTGTTTGTTTGTTTTTGTTTTTGAAACAGAATTATGTCCGAATTCCAGGCTGGCCTCTTTTTTTTTTTTTTTTTTTTTTTTTTTTTTTTTTGATAAGGGTGTGGCTGTGAGGTCCAAGCTGCCCTTGAACTCACTGTTGTCCAGCTTGGCCTCAAACTCGTGGCGATCCTCCTGCCTCAGCCTCCCCAGTGCTAGGAATACAGGCCTGTGCCATCATCCCCGGTTTTCTTCCTGTTATTGCAGAAATCCTCTTGACCAAATCATGGTGAATAAATATCTAAAAGCTAAAAAAAAAAAAAAAGCCCGCACCATTTAGTCAAAAGAATAGACTGTCACTCTGGAAAAGAAATCTGTTATATTTCAGAAGTTTAGCTTTTTCCTCTTAATAGTGTAATACTTTCTTGAGCTTTCAGGTAAGGGTGCCAGAATTTAGATTTGTGACCGAGGGCTCTCATATCTTCGAGAATCTGCACTGTGCACAGCCCAAGGAGTGCAGATACACCCCGTTTAGGCTCCCGCTGGTGCTCACAGGAACGCTGAGCTGCACTTGAAATTTGAAAGTATAAAAATGTGAAATTTATCCCATTGGCTACTATGACTTAACTGATCAATACATTTTATTGTTAGAGTTTTTAATGCTCTGGCTGTGTTTTTTGTGTGTCTTTTGAGTTTTGTTTTTTCTTTTTTGTCATTCTGAGACAAGGTCTTTCTATGCAGCTCAAGCTGGCCTTGAAGCCACTTTGTAGCCCAGGCTGGTCTCAAACCCGAAATCATCCTGTTGCCTCAGCCTCCTGAGTGCTGGGATTACAGGTGTGCGCCACCATGCCTGACTCTGTTTATTTGCTTTTGAGACAGGGTCTCCCTATGACGGAACTGTGTGGCCCAGGCTGCTTCTGCCTCTTTGCTGGAATTACAAGCATTATATCACCATGCCTGGCTCTTTACAGTAGTTTTAAAGGACACTTGTACCAAGCTGAGGTGGTGGCACAAGCCTATAATCCTAGAAAGCCTGTCATCCCAGCACTCCAGAAGCTGAAGCAGGAGGATCACTTCCAGTTCAAAGCTAATCTAGGCTACACAGTGGAGTTGAGGTCAGCTTGCACTACATAGTGAAACCCTTAGAAATAAGAAGAAGCAATGTATCCTACCATATAGCCATGCATAAGGATGAAACTGGAAAAATGGCAGGGTGTGGTGTTGCATTCCTGTAAATCCCAGCACTTAGGAGGCCGAGGCAGAAGAATCACTGAGTTCAAGACCAGCCTGGGCTACAAAGTAAGCCCAAGGCCAGCCTGAAGTGCATAATGAGAACCTGTCCCAAAAGATTTAAAAAAAAAAAAAAAAGTAAAAAATAAATAAAATACAGACATTTTCACATTGACAAGCTGTAAAATCGCTTGCAGCAACACAGCATAGACTTTGTCAGGTCTTCCAGGAACTATTTATAACTCTCTGCCTAAGTTTAGTCATACAGAAAATACTTGCTGCCTGAGGTCCTAGGAAAGTCTGGCAAGGTAATGAAACCCTATAAACCCCAAGTTCAAGATTTGGCACACTGGGCTGGCCAAATAGCTCAGCAAATTAAAGCACCTGCAAGCAGGCACAAGGGCTGGGGGTTCAATCCCCGGGCTCACCCCCAGGGCGCATTGAGACTGGGTGTGGTGGTGCACACCTGCAATCCCAGCACTTGGGAGGCTGTAAACAGGAGAATCACTAGGAGTCCGATCAAGTAGTGAGACCCTGAACACCCTGTATACCCTTTCCTAAAATATAGAAGAAAAAAAAAAAAAAAGACTTGGCACACAGAGCCCAAGAAATGTTGGTCCTCATTAGATAGACTTAGCAATTTAAGAACATTAAGAAACATCTATGATTGGATTAATACTAAGTCCTATTAAGGAAATTGTGACTCTACCAGTGACGGCAACCCTGTCAGAGCTTCCAGTGCTGTCAGCAGCCCACTGTGACAGCCCAGAGGTTCGCCACCGCTGTTCTATACCTTTACGTTTTCAGTTGTCCTTGAGCCGCTGGCTGCCAGGTGTCAGTCTGGGAGAAACCAAAACAAAGTCTAAACCATGCAAACAGACTGGACTTCTAGGCCTCATATGCTCACAGTAGCCTGCTGTGTGACACTGGGCAAGCTGCATGGCCTCTGTGGGTTCTCGGTGTCCTCACCTATCAGGGCAGCAGAAAGGACTAGTGGATTTGTAGACTTCTCCAGGAAAACTTCAGTTTCTTCTGATGTCAGTGGGGGAGTGCTGTTAAACTCTGAAGTAACTTATTTAATTTCAGCTTTTACTTGGCGTACTGCCCCGCCCCTGTGCGCCCCTGGCTGGGAAAGGCTAAGGGTGGACTGGGGATCCAGCCAGGGCTGCAGCAGCTAAACCTGGCTGTGCAGCGCACCCCTTGCCCTATGCACCCCCGTCACGGCGTCCCACTAGATGATAAACTTTCCAAAAGCCAAGACACTGGCTTCCTCTGCTGGCTCCCAACACTCCCTGCTACTCCATTTGTGGTTCTTTTGTCTTTTGCTTTTGCTTTCTTCTTTTTGTTTTTCTTTTTCTCTATACTACAACCAAGACACCCAGTGATACTAGATTTTGTCATCCCAGCACTTGCGAGCCTGAAGCAGGACAATTGCTGCAAGTTCAAGGCCAGCCTGGGCCACAAAGTGAGTTCAAGCCAGCCTGAATGACAGAGCAAGACTCTGTCTTGAAAAACCAAAAAGAGTGCTCACTTCAGCAGCACATTTACTAAAATTGGAACGATACAGAGATTCGCATGGCCCCTGCACGAGGACGACACACAAATTCATGAAGTGTTCCGTACTTTTTTTTTTTTTTTTGTATTTTAAGGAAGGGTTTATAGGGTGTACAGGGTCTCACTACTAGATCGGACTTGTAGTAATCCACCTGTTTACAGTCTCCCAAGAGCTGGGGTTACAGGTGCACACCACCACACCTAGGTTCAATTGCCATCTCAGTGCGCTCTGGGGATGGGGATGGCATGGCAGGCCTGGGGATTGAACCCCAACCCTTGTGCCTGCTTGTATAGGTGGTTTAATCCACTGACCTATTTGGCCAGCCCAAAAGAGGAATGTTGTTCTTTTTTTGTTTTGTGGGACTGGGGATTTGGGACCCAATTTGGGACCTTGCACTTGCCAGGTGGGCACTTATGCCACTGAGCTATCTCCCCAGCCCTCCATACTTTTGATGAAAGAAAGAAAGCAAGAAGGAAAAGACTTAGGGCTGGCAATGTTACTCAGGAACTTGGTGGCAGAGGGCTTACTAGATTCTGTGAAGGTCTAGCCTCATACCCCACCCCCAAACACAAGTCAAATAAAAGCTCTGATAATAGATTTTATCTCCCAAAGCATCCCCACCAGGAAGCAAGGTCTCTATGCTGCCCAGGCTGCTCTTGAACTTCTGGCTTAAGCATTCCTCCTGCCTCAGGGCCACAAGTACACATCACTCCAGTATGTTAGAGCCTTCCTGACATAGCACCTGTAAAAGGAATGAATAAATTACAATCACTTTGCAAATAAATTACAATCACCTTGCTAATTTAAGGCCAGTTTGGGCCACACAGCTAAATCGTGTGAGTACTTTCTCCCCTATGTCAGCAATGTATTGCACACTTGATTCTGGCTAATGAAGCAGGGTTTACTTGTAAAAGGAATAAATAAATTACAGTCACCTTGCAAATCCTTGCTTCCCACAGGGTTCTCATGAGTGAAGGCCATCCAGGGTTAGCAAACTCTTAGAGCTGCAGAATAAGTATGTAATCCCCGCACTCAGGAGGCTGAGGCAGGAGGATCATTGTGAGTTCAAGTTCAGCCTGAGCTATAAAGTGAGTTCCAGGCCAGCCCAAACTGCATAGCAAGACTGTCTCAGACGAAAAATAAAAATAAAATAGAAATATTTATGGCATGTATAAACTTATTTGTTTACTTTTCCTTGTTCTGATTTTTGAGACAGGATTTTGCTACGTGGCCCAAACTGGCCTCAAATTAGCAACAATCCTACGTGAGCTCCCAAGTCTAGGATTATAGATGCGATTATAGATTATAGATGTGCTACCATGCCTGGCTAATAAAAAGGTTTGTTTTACGCGCGTGTGTGAGTACTTTCTCCCCTATATCAGTAACGTATCACACACTTGATTCTGACTAATGAAGCAGGATTGCGTCCAGAGCTGATTTCAGCAAGGCGTGGTGGTACACACCTGCCATCACTGCACTCTGGAGGCTGAGGCAGGAGAGTTGCTGCAAGTCTGAAGCCAACTGGAGCAGCACAGTAAGTGCAAGGCCAGTCTGGAATATATGCTGAACCAACACTCTGTCTAAAAAAGGAAAATAAAATGAAATCCAAAAGTTAGTTCCTCAACCACACTCAGGTTGTGGCAGGTCCTTCCACAGTCACGTAGCCAATAGTGCCGAAGAAGCTCATCCATTCCATGGAAAGCCCTCGGTTTAGCATGTTAGGGACTATTTTGAAAGTACACCTTACACAGAGGAAAGTTATGGAGTCTGGATGTAACACCATAGGCAGCTGGAATGGAAGGTTAGCCCCAGGCATGGGAATAGAAGTGTGTCAGGTATGTAGATCTTGAGATAGCTGAAGGACCTAGAGAGCTCCAACTCCCAACTCATCCAGTTACGCATATGGCAAGTGCCTCTTGAGCCTCTGCTACTGTCCGTTACTCTTCTCTCGTAGCTGGGACAAATACCTGACACCCAAAATGAAGGAAGGAAGGGTTTATTTAGCTCACAGTTCCTGGAGGTTTCAGCCCATACTCAGCTGGCTCCAAGGCCGGGCGGCACGTGGCAGAGGGCAGCAGTTCATGGCAGCGGTGGCAAAGAGCAAGAGCAAATGGAAGGAGCGGCAGCCACAATGGCTGCACGAAGCAAGCTATCTCCTTTATGTTGCATTCAGTCTATCTGCCCCAGGCTGGGTATAGCACTCACACCCATAATCCCAACACACTTAACACCCATAATCCCACACCCATAATTCCAGTGGATCAAGAGTTAATCACAAACTCTAGAAGTCTGCCCTGTGACTACAGGAGGCTTTGGGGAGACAAGAAGACACAAACCGGAACAGCTACCATGCTATGTGCAGGGCTAACAGATACAATGCCCCTAGGAGCTTGCAGTTCAGAGAGAAAGGCATGCTTCCCCCAGGACTGGGAGACAAAGAAGCAGCCAGCTGTGGGCTGTTCACAAGTGGATAGTAATCAGCTAAGCTAGCCAATGCCATGTTCACCATTCTGTCTACAGAGCTGCCTGTCACCTGCACTTTGGCCAGCTGGTAACTATACACGTCATTCATCCAGTGTTGTTGAGAGCTGGACATGGTGGTGCACATCTGTGAGCCCAATGCTCAGGAGGCTGAGGCAGGAGGACCACGCCCATGAGTTGGGGGCCAGCCTGGGCTACCCAGTGAGTTCAAAGTCAGCCCATACTGCACTGTGAGACCCTGTCTCAAAAAAAAAAAAAAAAAAAAAGAAAGAAAGAAAAGAAAAGCTGTTGAAAGAGGAGGGCCAGGGTGTAGCTCAGTGATAAGAATGCTTGCCTTGTATGTAGAAGGCGCTACTGCATTTAGTCCCTAACACTCAGCGAAAATTAAAGCTACCAGAGGTTTTAGAATCGAAGCTCTTCACCCTGTCCTAATTGCCAGGATGCTGTGTACCCTTGGTCTATATGATTTTTTCTTCCTTTTTCCCTTTTTCTGGGTTATCTGTTTGTTTTTTGAGGCAGGGTTTCACTGTGTAGCCCAGGCTGGCCTCAAACTCACAGAGATTCTTTGCCTCAACCTCCCAAGTGTTGGGATTTCTTATTTTCACTTTGCTCAATCCACACCCGTGTTGCCTGGGCTTTTGAACCCCGTACCTTTGGTTTCAATCTATTTGTGATATTAACTACAAGTATCACAGCACCTGCTGTCTGCCAGCCACTGTGCTAGGCACTTTTAATCACAAGCCACAACCTTCAGAGCAGTCTTGTGAGGTAGGAATTATCAATTTCAACTGTGGAAACACAATCAGAACAGCGTTCAGGAACTTGTCCAGGGTAGCGGACAGTGAAGGGGAGAGCCCAGGTTGGGCCTGCCTACTTTTCATGCACAACTCCCTTTCCTGCACCAACAAGGTTAAATCAAGGGAGTCTGCTACAGCAAGACCTCGGGGTGCATCACGCAGGAGAAGAGGCGGCAGCCAGGAATCAGCACCAAGGTTAGTGTAGGTCAGGCTGCCTTGAGCTTACTATATATCCCAGGCTGGCGTTGGACATGGCGACCCTCCTGCCTCAGCCTTCCCAGTGCCTGGCTGGTTTGGCAACTATCTGCCTCTGTATTTATCACTCTCAAAGAGAGATCATCTCAAAAAGAGCCCCACCAGGTCTAGGGGTCTAACTCAGTGGTCGAGTGCTTGTCTTGCATGCATAACACCCTGAGTTCAATTCCCCAGTACCACAAAAAAGAAAAGAGATTTAAAAAGGAGTCGTGCTGTGTGACTAGTCATCCGGCCTCATGTCCTCAGCCTTCCCACAGAGATTCGCACTCGGGACAGGAGGAGGCAGAGTGAGCCCCGTGGCTCCACCACAGCTCAGCAGATGGCTGATGTCCTCCCGCATTGGGTCGCCCCAAGCAAACCTGCTCCCCCTCCTCAGCACCCCTCTTCTAACCTATAAAATGACAATACTGTGTCCTCTCTCCCTTGGAAGGGTAAGAATCGCATGTGGGAGATTCCAGAACTATAAAACCATAGGCCTGCCTACAGGCCTCTAATCAAAATTTTCTAGGAAAAGAGAGGGGGGAAGTTTTTCTCCTCTAACCCAATCTCTTTTCTTTTGTTATTTGCTTTTTCTTTTTTTTTTATTTTTTGTATTTAGGGCAGGGTCTACAGGGTGTACAGGATCCCACTGCGTAGATCGGACTCGTAGTGATCCTCCTGTTTACAGCCTCCCAAGTGCTGGAATTACAGGCATGTGCCACCATGCCCAGTCTCACTTGCCATCTCAAGTGCGCCCCAGGTGCAGGGCCGGCATGGCAGGTTGGGGATCAAACTCCTGGCCCCTGCGTCTGCCTAAGCAGGCACTTTAATCCGCTCTTCTTCCTTTTTCTTTAGACGGGACTTCACTATGCATTTCAGGCTCGTTCCAGAGCAGCCTGGGCTACATAGTGAGTTCAAGGCCAGCCTGAATTGCATAGTCAGACCCTGTCTCAAAAAAATAAAACCAAAACAAACAAAACCCAGAATGGTGTGTTTCCAGAGGTGCTCACCTCAGCACTTTCTGCTGGGGCTGTCAGCTCTGGCCAGGGGCTGCTGAGACCCTCGGGAGCCAGGGCAGAGAACAGCCCTTGCTTCAGGGCAGGGGCGTTCCCCAAACCGGGCTTCCCGCTGTGGCCTTTATCACCTAAAAACCCCTCAGTCCCAGGGAGACAGCCAGGGGTTCCAGAAATCCCCCAGTGGGCGAGCTCCTGAAAGCTCAGCAGACACAGCCAGGGTGCCTGGTTTCCAGTTTCCCATGGCTGCCCCAAGGGACTGCTGCTGCTGCTTCCTTAGATCTGGGAATTCCCAGCACCAAGCCTCAGAGCGCACAGCCTGGATGGCTCTGTGTGCAGCAGGCCACAGAGAGAGGGACCCCTGCAGACTGGATTTGGGGGCTGCTTCAAGCTCTAAGCACCACCTGCTCTTTGGAGGGTGGCACCTGCTGGCCTCAATGCCCAGGGTCTGCCACGGTGCCACCCTCTGGTGGAAATACTCTTTTGTTTGGCTTGGTTTTTTGAGGCAGGGTCTCTCTATGCAGTTCAGGCTGGCCTCAAGCTCACG